AAAGACACACATTTATCCACCATGAATACAAGAAAAAAAATATTGAGCTTTGGGTTCTACAAGGCAGACTTTCTGACCCCCAACTCTTCCTGCAAGAAAATATGTTTTGGTCATGCTTTCATACAAATTCACAGAGAAGGGCCCACAGAGGTGTGAATAAAACCTTCACTTAGAGAGTCCAGATGCTCCCTCAGATCCTCCAGAGGCCTGATTCTGGGTGAGGTTCATCTGCTCAGTGCGAAGCTACATAAAGGTGAAAAAGTCTCAGACAAACCCTGCTTACACTTGGACATACCAGAATCTGAAAAACCTTTTCTCAACATTAAAAAATATGGATATTTTGATGGCAAAATTAATGTCAATGTAATAACAAGAAACGCCAACTTGCCCGAATATATTGAGAAAAATAACAGAAGTGATTGTATTTAAAAAAAATCATGAAAAACACTCTGAGAGTAAAAGAAACAAATTTTTTGGTCCAACATAACCTTAGAGGCATTAATGCTGATACTGGTACTTATATTTTATAGTTTTTTAAACCTCAATATAATTGTTAACTAGGCTGATTAACTTTTTTAGATCGGGTCAACTTAGTTTTTACTATGAACACAGATTTTATGCAAACCTAAGCTTTGAACCAATAATCTAACCTGCTCTTTGGACCATTCCTCTTTTGGGAACTGTTTAGCAGAGGATTCTTTGCACTTCAAGGCTTCTTACGTGTTTCTCTCCATTTGGGAGGCTGGAAGACAAAAGCTTCAAAATTGCTTCTTTAACACATTGTCACTGTGAAATCTTCACTTTTTGTTCACTAGACTAATAGGATAACACTTACTGCCCAACAAAACACTGTCAAACCCACTGAACATTTAGTCACCATTTCATTTCCCTTTAGGCTTGATAAAATATTTTTGAATTGAATTAAACAGAATTATAATTATATGCTATGGGTGAATACTGGATTCTGATTGGCTGCAGTATTTCGTTAAAACCTGTTGCAACAAATCATGTTTTTATTCAACCACCTATGTGTTTTTTGTTTGTTTTGTTTATTTTAATTACAGGCTAATGAAGATTTATGCTAAGTTTAGGAGTATCGTTTAATTTCCCTTTGGGATAGATGAAGTATTTTGGAATTGATAAAAGAAAAAAGCATTCAGGTTATTTTACAGTTAGCGTCAAAGTTTGGTTTTAGATGTTAGTTTGATGGATTACTATAAAGTTGAGAAGTTAGGCTATAGTTAATAACACTGTTTAAATAATATAGGCTAATTTTCATATCACCTCCACGATTAGCCCATGAAACATCAAATAATCAAATTATTTTACAGAAAAAATTCAGTATATTCCAAATAAGGAGTAATTCTTCATAATTCACGCAGAGTTCACAACAATGATAAAGGCACTCTGAAATATTTACTAGGGAGAAATAAACAGCAGTTTGAGACCAAACAGAACCTGGCGTTTCTATAGCAACCGTGCACATACGTAAATTGTTTTAAAACAACAGTGGCCGCTGGGGCCACTAGAGGGCGCTGTTGCGCCGCCCTACGCCCAATGGCACTGGAAAATACATTTAAAAAAAATTATTTTAATAATTTAATTTTAAATTAACATGTAAAGTATTTCGAAATATACCGATATATATATAAATATATGTTACCTTTGTAACAAAACAAAAAAATGGATATGTTGATGGCAAAAATGTATGTCAAGAAAAGCCAACTTGCACGAATATATTAAGAAAAAAACAAAAATAAGTGTTTTTAAAAGAAATTCACAAAAAACACTCTGAGAGTGAAAAAACACATTTTTTGGTCCAACATAACATGAGAGGCATTAATGCTGATACTGGCACTGGCATTTTGTAGTTTATAAACCTAAATAGAATTGTTAACTAGGCTTATTAACTATCAACTTTACATTTTAACTTTTCAATTAGCTTTTCACTTTTTTTCTTGACTTACCTTTACCTTTTCTTCAACTTAGATATATTCTTCAACTTAGATATATTTCTTCAACTTAGATATATTACCTACTTACAGTAGGTAATATATCATTCAAGGGCTCGTCTAATTGGTCAAATGCATAAATAAGATATACATCCATGTAGCAGCATCCTTGCTGAATGGCTGGATATAGAGCTTGTGCTTCTAGACCTCACTGAGGGACAGGGGGGGGGGACTCCATTTCTGAGGAATATGTAATTGATCAAAAACGTTCACTTGCCCAATAAAGGGTTAAGCGAGGCTTCCATTCAACTCAAGAAGGTAAGTTTTAAAAGTTTCAGTATTACATTAGCCATTTGCTAAAACTCACATTTTACTGTCAAGAAAACTTGCAATGATATATCCTTTCAAATTAAAATAATTCAGTTACACTAGTTGTTTAATTATTGACCAATTGTTTAAAATCAGTTCATCAAGTCGAAATAACTCACAGCTCAGCCTAATATGCTGTCCAAAACTTGCTTAAAATGTCTGACTTCTTTACATTTTTTTATAAAGTCTCAGCAGATGACATACTCAAGATTTTATTGCTCCAGATATCTATGAGTATTTTGGCACAGAGTAGACATCAGCAGGTACTGACTCTGACATGTTTGTTCCTCTAGTAGTCAGTGTTTAAGGTGTGAGGTTCTGGGCTGGGACGCGAGGGTATCTGAACCTTATTTTATAGTGTTGGTTTTTGGCGTCTCCCTGCTGCATTGTAAACAATGGTGGGCAGAGTCACTGAGTAGTGAACCCGCCGATTAGGTTTTGTTGAGTGAATCTAATACAGTATGTGGAAGGATGGATTGGAGTGTCCTTAACCCTCCTCCACATACATTTTTAGTAGGCTGTGGGGTTGGTTGATGAATTAAACTTAACTTATTTACTGCAAAAATTATCTATTAAAAATGTCCTAAATTAAGGGTGTTTACCCTTAATTTGAGCAGGTAAATACGATTATCTGCCAATGGAATGAGTATTTTCACTCTTAGAATAGGATAATTGGATAATATTCACTTGAAATAAGACAACGCAATTTGTTTTTTCTTATTTTAAATGTAAATTGTCTTGTTCCATTGGAAAAACGTCTCACTTACCTCCTCTACTAAAGACAAAATGAACTTATTTTGAGAAAAATTACATATCTGGATTTTGATTTTTTTCCAGTCTGCTTTTCCCTGGTCTGTATATTGCTGACAAAAAGTAATCATCCGCCACTTCGCTTTTCCCATCCTCAGTAAGCTAAGGTGATCAACTTCTTCAGGTGATAAGCAGCTGTAAGGGAGGGTAGCATCTGCTCAGGTAAATCTTATCTTTATTTTGAATCCCTTATCAGATTAAGAGATCCGGATTCTACTTTAAAAACTCCAAATATTAGGGTGCATTGATGTGCCCAAATTTACATTTCATAGAAATAGCTTAAAAATTGAGTTGGAATGCCACAAACTCATCATATTAAGGTGAAATTTTAGAACTCAAAATGTTAAGTGTAAGTAAATCATAGAAATCAGAAGTGTCAAGTAACAAAGTACAAATACTTCATTATTGTACTTAAGTACACTTTTTAGCTATCTATACTTTATTCCATTACTTATTTTTCTTCCTACTTCTGACTTCTAATCATTACATTTTCATACAAGTATCTGTACTTTCTATTCCTTACATTATTAAAACAAATATTACTTGTTACTCTTGGCTTCAGTTTAATGTTTATAAATATCTATTTCACGTCATGTGCTCCATCCAATGCAGATCATTGGCTCCATCCACATCTAGTGAAGCTAAATCATCAGAAGCAAGCAGGTGTTCTTCAAACTGTAAACGTGAATTGTCTATGCCAT